GTTGTCTCAGCCCTTCATGGACAGAACACAGACCACCCTGAATGAGCAATTAACCTGCGGTTAACCGCAGCCCCAACGCTCTAATTAGGGACACACGCCGGAGTACCGGGGGGTCCTCGTTCGGGAGTTTGAGTGCGGAAAAATAGTATACGAACCCTGGGGCCCCATCAATTACGATTGTGGTTAACCGCAAGTTCCTGGTGGTCGGCCGTTCGGTTGTTTGCAAGGTGAAAAAGGTTAAGTGGCGGCACACGCCAAGGCCTGGGTGGTTTTACTTCGTATGTGCGAATATAGGATCCTGATGGTTCGTGTAATGGAGTTTATACAATAAGGGTACCGAAGGGAACGGCATTCGGAAACTGCAAATAAAGAGAACCAGTACTGGTCTGAAGGGCGTCTGTACAAGCATCATTCACATCAGGCAATGCTTCTTGTGAAAAGCAAACCCAGAACTGGTATGTGTTTTTTATAGGGCAAGGCAGCTGTAACCAACACCTCCAATCTTATCTCATTGACTTGACTCCAGTTGCCTGACAACTCACTCCAATTAGCTCTTTTCCACCTGCACTGTGAATGTTTACATGGTGTGTTCAATAAAAACATGGCAACATTTCATTCTTTGTGTGTTATTAGTTTAAGCAGACTGTGATTGTCTATTGTGACTTAGATGATGATCAGATCACATGTTATGACCAATTTGTGCAGAAATCCATATCATTCCAAAGGGTTCACATACTTTTTCTTGCAACTGTAGAGTGTGGGGTGCTTTCTCCACCTGGGCTATGGCTAAAAGCATCGATGTGCAGAATCCCTCTACCACGGATATTCTGGAGTTCCTACAGTCTGGACTTGATTATTATTTTATTATTATTTTATTATTTATATAGCGCCAACAAATTCCGTAGCGCTGTACAATGGGATAAGGGTGTAACGGATCACCTGGCACCCCGACTGGGTACCTCTGTTAAAGGATGCTCCTAGCGTTTCCTGATGACTCCAAGCACTGCAGCAGACACCAAAACCACCGAACCGTAGGAGCATATACCTTCTCTCAAGCATATGAATGTTGTATACAGCCGAATAGGAAAACCATGCGAATAGGTTTACAATCCTAGCAGTCAAACTGGAACAGCATACAATAAATCCTCCCCCAATAATGAGACGACACTTCACTTTGAGGGTTAAGCAGGAACTCCTGGACTGGCACATACAGCCTCTTTTATTCCCAATCCACAAATTTAGTACTGCCCACAGGGTTTTACATAACAACCAATAAGACACTCCCACACAAAATCCTCCCCTCTGGCTGTGATATGATTACTGAACACAATGGTTAATCTAATTATCACAGCCAGAGAAATACAGTTTTTCCACATTATTCATAACTTGAAAAGTATGCATCTCATTCACATAAAACATTTTCAGAATCAGCATACTCCATACTCATACAAACATATGTCAAAATCATACATATTGGTCCAGTGGTTCAAAAGTTAAGGAAAAGTCCTATTTGACCAAATGCAGCATGGCTTTTCTGCCCAAAACCAGTTCCACAGAGTCTTCTATCCTGGAGATAATTGGGGAAGTAATCCAATTATCTCCAGGACAGAGGCAAAACTCCATTAGCCACATGGCAGCAAAAGACAATAAAACACATAAAAACATATAACTGTGCAGCCATTGCACAAAACAGGTACATTCAACATATCCCCAGATAGCTCAGATCTGAGCGCACATTATTACTGAATGGCGCTCAGAGCACACACATACAGTTCAATTGCCATGGAGCCAAAGTCTTTCCCATAGTCTTTCATTATACAAATGGGCTCCATGGCATAGCTATCTGGGTAACACTGCTCACATTAGGGAAAGTACCGAAAGACCCAGCTTTTGGGTCTTTGCAGGGGAAAATCCATCCTTTCAACATGGGGCCATAGTCACAGGGCAGGAGGCCGGCAATCAGTCTTCTCCAATGCCCAGTGTCGAGGCTGGTTCCGCCACAAAGGGCGTAAGTTATAATGCCTTGAAGGTACACGTCTCAGCATTATCCGCCTTAACTAATCACAGGTGGGCCTTGAATGCAGATGTTATCAGATTTATCAAGGGGGTACTAAAAATAAAGCCTCCAATTAAGCCATTTGTCCCGTCTTGGAATCTACCTCTAGTTCTCAGTGCTTTGAAAGCAGAACCCTGTGAACCTTTTGATTTAATTCCTATACATTTTATCTCCTTTAAAACAGCCTTAACTGCCTTGGCTTCAGGGAGGAGGGTATCAGAACTTCATGCCCTATCACGGTTTTTCATAAGGACAGTCATTCTTCGTACGGTGCAGACTGAAGGTCACCTCCGCTTTCCATATCAACGAAGACATTGTTCTTCCATATCTGGTGTCTGAATTTGAAGATGATGAGAGTAAGGCAGACCTCTCTTCGTTAGACCTAGTGAGATGTCTTTAAATATATATTGAAAGGACCGCCGCCTGACGCTCTTTCCAGAGTCTCTTTGTCCTTAACAGCGGTTGTAAGAAGGGTATGCATGCTCCCAAAGCAACAATTAGCAGATGGATAGTAGTGGCTATCATACAAGCATATCAATCCTCAGAATGTCCGGTTCCAGAGTGCCTTAAGGCCCATTCTACTAGAGCCCTCTTATCCTCTTGGGCAGCCGCAGCCGGTGTCTCTCCTGAGCTCATTTGTAAGCCAGCAACTTGGTCTTCAACTAATACGTTCATCAGGAGTTATCAGATTGATGTCAGAGCAGGACAATCAGATCAATTTGCAAGACCCTTCCTTTCAGTTAAAAATATGTGAATCTTTTCCTTTCCCCTTATTTGTCAGTTGATTGTAGTACTAATACACTTTGCATTCAAAATTTCTGGAGTCTGTGGCTTCTTCCCTCCCTGGGTTATTGCTTGGGTATCACCCAATGTTGTGCTGCCATGGATATGTCCAGGAAAAGGGAAAATTTATTCATACTTACTGTAATTTTCTTTTCCTGGATGTAGGCCATGGCAGTACAAGGGTCCCACCCGGGGATACTGCTGGTAACAAGACTGGGGATTGAGGGGTTGGAGGTGGTACTTATACCTTTCAATTATTATCCTGTCCAATCGGGGATAGGGAGGAGCTACCCCATGTTGTGCTGCCATGGCCTATGTCCAGGAAAAGAAAATTACGGTAAGTATCAATAAATTTCCCCTTATTTTATTAACTACTGCAGTGTTTTTGACAATGATATGCTTCATCCTGAACCTATAATTACACCGTGAACCGTTTCGTTTGATATCTTTGTATCTTATCTACTCACATAGCAATTAACTGATCACGGCGTCTTGGTATTTTCCAGCAACATTGTGTAAAACAGTTTGTGTAACAATTATTATGGTCAAAAGTGTAGCTTTGGATAAAGACCGTATTACACTGAGGTTTAACATGCACGCAGACTGTGCCCGTTGAGCAGGGATCCATTGAGTATTTACCATAATCATCTTGCTAGTGTAAGTGTGCCTGTTATATATAAGCACCACCATTGCCAAGTTGGTTGTCACTATGAAACAATAATGCTCACACATTTGCGATCGGTAAGTGGGGTGGAAGCGGGGACGTTATATGCCGCCCGCGTTTAGTCTTGGCATAGAATGCCTGCTGTCCTTAAGGGGTTAAGATTGTGTAACTCATATCACTGTAAGCTAGATTGAGAGTGCAAGTTTCTCAAGTGAAGCACTTCTGTTAAAGTCGACTTACATTAAACCCTTCTCTGCGGCCAAACAAGCTACCAGACCAAACAGGAACACTTTAATCACCAAAATGACTCTTAATGAAGTAGTTTGGGTGTATAGATCATGCCTGTGAACTCTCACTGCTCAATTCTCTGTCATTCAGCAGTTAAATCACAATTAATATAAAAGTGTATATAAAGTGGAGCGCAAAGATAAATACATATACACACATATAATTATTATTCCAAGTTGGTGGGATTCTCACTCCTAACTTGAAATGATCAGAAATGTATAAAATATATAACTCAATATATGGGGGACGGGAATGACTGTCCCTTGCTGGATTCCTGGTTCTTTCAAATATAAAATTGGGAGTTATCTTAACATTTCAACATGTTTTTTCCCCCATTTTTATAACCACTTTGAATGCCTTTTAGCACTATTATATTAATAGTAATAATATGATATTATTTTAGTTGAATCACAAGTAGTGGATGTAAATAATCTTCCAACTCTGCTCTTTTTGAGTTTATTTTGCCATTCAGATAGAATTTGCTACAGTTTGTTGTTTAGCGAGTAGACCACCTAGGAAGTTGAGGTATTTACTGAACGCTCTGGCAATTTGATGTTGATTTTCGGGTAAGATTGCTTCTTTCATCTGATCACTTCTCAAGTTGTATTACCCACAGGAGTTCCCACCATGTCCACTTTACGAGAGAGTATTGGAAATGTAAGTTCTACTGCTATCCATCTGTAAGCCTCAGCCGGCAGCCAGCGATCTTAGATTTGAAGATTATTTACATTCTTGTAACATTTATTTTTATTATTCTATTTGACTACATAAAATCCACATAGAACATAAACCGGTGACAGACTGCTTGTTCATCCATGTGGTCATCCTTGTCATGTTGTGAAACATCTCGTCTTTTGGATAAGCTTTTCAAAGGATTTTAGATCACTTTGGTTGGATTAAATTTTACAATTATTCAATATTTGATTTTTTTTATTTTATGGCATATTATAATTTTTAAATATATTTTTGAGGTTTAAAATATCACTTTAAATTGTTATTCCAAAATATTTAATCAAAGCCTTTGTTCTTTGTGATCACCCTGTGTTTGTCTTACATCATCATATTTTAATTGCTGTGAATAGTACCTGCAGCCTTTTCTATTATCCAACGTACTCGGCTCTATATAATGTTCATTGAGAATCTTTCATTTCATAAGTGAAGCAAATAAATGTAAAAGAATAGAGCAGAGCAGTCAACAGGCAAAACACATTGAATTTTTTATATTTATTTAATAAACTTCCTTTTGGACATATTTTGCGTAAAAAAAAATCCCTGCCCTTCAATTATCTTTATATTCTGCAGATTCAGATTCATTCTGACTACTACAGCTACGACGACACAAAATTCTGTACAATAGATCCAGTGCTTGTCCTCGGCATTACAAACATTTAACATTAATTTTAAACAAACTCCAGCCAAAGGTTCTGGCAATGAAACATAACCATATTATTGCCAAATACTACAATTAATATAAATATAAAATCACATCAAATGTTCTTATACCACAAAAAAGTGAGTTGCAACTATCGGACGGATGGATGTTTTTGTGCTAGAAATGGTGAGAATATTTTAGGTTGATTCGGTAATAAGGTAATCATTTATAGGAAGTCAAACCGTGGCCAAACTAGGAGACCCGATGGGAGAATTAACAATAAGAACAGTTACCTTCCTTATCGATCAGGCACTAAGAGACTGTCCGGTGGCTGTTACGGCTCACACAGAAGGTCACAGATGTATAATGGTTTGGAGTTTTCCAGTGAATCTAGGTACATTTGTGTAAAAGATGTACAAAGGGGCAAAGAGGGAGAAAATGCAGTTTGTGTAGAATATATATAAGAAGGGGGAACCTGAGGGTTGGATGGGGGCGTAAAGGAGGGAATAAATGGGGGTGTAAAGGAAGGAATAAAACGGGGTAAAGTATATTTTTAACCACAGTTTCACATGCAATACAAATATATCACAAACAGACATTCAAGTAAACAGTCAAGTGAGCAGAACAAATATCACTGTACAGTTCTGGATGTTCATTCTACATGGGCCAAATTTCAAAGAATAATCACTTAGTATAGCAATATAGTGCATTAACCAAGTTTATTATAAGTGGACGTACTTAGTGTAATATCAAGAGCAGATTTGTAGCAGTGGTAATGAATTGTAAACAGACAATGGTGCCATATAAGCCATTATCAATAACCGATCTCAAGTGGTGCGTTACAACTTAAAGGACACCTGGTATGCCAATTTCATGTTTAAGGAATACATCTAGTATATTGATATTCCTGTAGTACCACCAGTATCCTCATACTCCACAGAATGGAATATTTAAAGGGACACTCCACTGCCCACATACAAATATTTAAAAATAAACAAATAAAAAAATCACTATTTTAATAGATATACCCCCAATGAAAACATGCATGTAGTTAAAATTATACATTTTCCCATTGCGGTTATATATAAAACCAGTTTCTAAAAGCTGCAGATCTTTTGGGAAGTCTGTGACTGGACAGCCACAAAATCTCCTGTGAGGTCAGCCTAACCCAGGAAGGGACTGAGATAATAAAATGCACCTTCAGATCTCCTGTGAGGTCAGCCTTACCCTGGAAGGGACTGAGATAATAAAATGCACCTTCAGATTTCCTGTGAGGTCAGCCTAACCCAGGAAGGGACTGAGATAATAAAATACACCTTCAGATCTCCTGTGAGGTCAGCCTAACCCAGGAAGGGACTGAGATAATAAAATGCACCTTCAGATCTCCTGTGAGGTCCACCTAACCCAGGAAGGGACTGAGATAATAAAATGCACCTTCAGATCTCCTGTGAGGCCCACCTAACCCAAGAAGGGATTGAGATTATAAAATGCACCTTCAGATCTCCTGTGAGGTCAGCCTAACCCTGGAAGGGACTGAGATAATAAAATGCACCTTCAGATCTCCTGTGAGGTCAGCCTAACCCTGGAAGGGACTGAGATAATAAAATGCACCTTCAGATCTCCTGTGAGGTCAGCCTAACCCTGGAAGGGACTGAGATAATAAAATGCACCTTCAGATCTCCTGTGAGGTCAGCCTTACCCTGGAAGGGACTGAGATAATAAAATGCACATTCAGATCTCCTGTGAGGCCCACCTAACCCAAGAAGGGATTGAGATTATAAAATGCACCTTCAGATCTCATGTGAGGTCAGCCTAACCCAAGAAGGGACTGAGATAATAAAATGCACCTTCAGATCTCCTGTGAGGTCAGCCTAACCCAGGAAGGGACTGAGATAATAAAATGCACCTTCAGCCTGTGAGGTCAGCCTTACCCTGGAAGGGACTGAGATAATAAAATGCACATTCAGATCTCCTGTGAGGCCCACCTAACCCAAGAAGGGATTGAGATTATAAAATGCACCTTCAGATCTCATGTGAGGTCAGCCTAACCCAGGAATCTGAAGGTGCATTTAACCCCGTCCAGACTTTGTGGCTGTCCAATCACAGACATCCCAATGCAGCTCAATGAATAGTTGCAATTATCTGCCTCTTGGGTTTATCTCCACTGAGCTAAACAAACCAGGAAGTAATCTGTTTTTGTAAAACATATAAATAAAATAAAATAAAAAAAACTCTTCATACATAAAGCACTTCAACAAACTAAAGTGATTGCCACATTGAGCTCTGACACTCGGTAGATACTGTTTGCGTTGAACTGTGAAAATACTTTCTAAAAGGTATGGAAACACATCCACTGCTTCGGCTGAGGCCCACCTAACCCAAGAAGGGATTGAGATTATAAATCATGCACCTTCAGATCTCAAGTGAGGTAACAGCCTAACCCAGGAATCTGCAGGTGCATTTAACCCCGTCCTGACTTTGTGGCCTGTCCAATCACAGACATCCCAATGCAGCTCAATGAATAGTTGCAATTATCTGCCTCTTGGGTTTATCTCCACTGAGCTAAACAAACCAGGAAGTAATCTGTTTTTGTAAAACATATAAATAAAATAAAATAAAAAAAACTCTTCATACATAAAGCACTTCAACAAACTAAAGTGATTGCCACATTGAGCTCTGACACTCGGTAGATACTGTTTGCGTTGAACTGTGAAAATACTTTCTAAAAGGTATGGAAACACATCCACTGCTTCGGCTAACGAGGAAGGGTTTTTATTTTAGTTAATCTGCTCCATCATTCGTACAGAAGTAAAAAAATAAAGATACAATTTAAATATATAAATAAGGCATTCACTGTCGCACTGCGCAATGCCAGAAGACATCATGGTGGAGGAAGTGATCTTCAGGGAAGTGTATCATTAAAATAATGCATTTGCAGTCCTTTTTACCTGAATTGTGTAGTTCGAATCTACACCTACTAGCATCCGAACGTTTGGTGGACATCCAAAACTTTAACATGTACTTTAACATGCAATTCCTGCTGATAGTAGGGGCATGCTAAATCAATGCTTTAAATATAGGCCTCCATTTAGTAAGCTTTCCAAATTATTCAATCATGTTCGAAAAACTGTACAAATGTATCTACAAAAATTCCCATTGACTTTAATGGTGACTTCCGTAGATAATTTAGTAGTGAATCATTTTGGAAACGTTAAATCGAGGCCATAATTTGGTAAGCGGCCCAAATGAAAAGGGGCCAAGGTAAGTTTAAAAATAAGAATAAAAAATCTAGCTGGATTTAATAAAGTGAAGGCAGATGGCACTGAACACTTACTAGCCAGCCTTGTTGTACTTCAAAGTGGAGTAGCGAAAGTTAGTTTGAGCAGGTTTGTCCAAATAAATTTCCTGATTCTGAATCAATCTACCTGTGGTTTACCTGTACAGGTAAGATCAGCTTGGAGATTCAGGAATTATTTGTTCCCGTATAAACTAAAAGGAATTTTATTTGGATGAGTACCACATTTTTGAATGAGTGTAGCTCATACGAACGCTTTCTGTCAGATGGAAAATCTTATCTGAGATGGAATTAGCTTATCCCTATCGATAAACACAAATAATTACTTCACCAACAGGGTGAAGACTAAAGTGAGATTTGTTGGGAATTCATTTCACATTTAAGGCCACATTAGCCAAACTCTTCAATTCTCTGATATGCTTCTTAAATTTGAAATTCTCACTAAATTCCTGGCAATTCTCACTTTAGTGAAAAGCTCTGCAACTACAACGCAAAATATAGATAATAAAAACGAATGGAAACCAGAAATAATCAGAAGGAATGTCTTTCTTCATAGAGGAGACTCGCTGATTGCACCTACAACCTGGGGTGCTTCCGAGCCAGCAGTGGGAGAGTTGTAGAATGAATTGGTTTGGTTCTCTCGATGCTCTCTGAGAAAGGGTGGAATAGAAGAGGATTTAACGTGTAAAATCCGTGTGTCCATTACTTCACAATCAATTTGCATCATCACCTCGAAGTCTTGTCCATTGATCACGTTATCTGCAGGAAGAAAAACAGAGCTTAGAACTGTTCTGATTATGCGGTAAAATCCAGCAGTGACTTTATCTAAACGGATAAAAACATGTAACATGGTCGACGTGCTATCTGTCATTGTATGGGCACCTGAATAAAATGAATATCTCGTAATGTCGTACTGGATATTTGGACTTATTTTGACCACCGGAGATGACTGCACCTACAAGTTACCCTCGCCTCATGGCATCCCAGATGCAAATGTAGACATTCATGGCTATTTCACATGAAATCATCTCTTCACTCAAACATTTTATCGCCGATTTCTACTGTTAGTGTTAGGTTTTAAAATTATAGGGTCGAAATAGAGATGTGCCCTCGTTGAGACAGAATTGTTTGACTTTCCTTCCTGGAACAGAAAAGCCATCTGATGAAACAACGCCACCGTTACATTTGAAACTATTTTAATGATAAGTTTACCACCAACTTCTGTCAAAGTTAGCAGGGATAATTCTATATACATTTAACACATATTGCATTTTCACTTTTGAATTTATTCATATGAAAGTGTCTCCACTCCTCACTCCCTTTTTATTCAGCTGGACACCCCAGTACATCCATTTTATATATATATATGTATATGTACACACACACACCGTAACCAACTATGAATGCTGAATTACCTGATAAATTCGGACGATGGAAGTAGGCAATTTTCTTCTTACAATGTGGGGAGCAGTTAAGGGCATATGATAAAGCAGTCAAGATTTTGACATCATAATTATCCCAATAATTCTAAACCTAACCCTAAATGTCATTAAAGAGGCACTGTCATGGGCTGATCCTGTATTTTGTTATAGTCCCCCCAACTCTATATGTTCTCAATGTATTATTTTTAACGGAATATTCCGTCATGATTCCCTTTTATTCCTGAAGGTGTGTCCTTAAGGGGTTAAACACAGTCTTTCTCCACTCTCCATTTCCATGCCTATTGAGCGATGCTCAGTGCAAGATGAGAGGGCATCATGAGATTAGAAGTGAAGGAACAGGCGGACAGGTAAGTATTCTGAAAATGAGACTTGGAGCTTGCCTTAAATTCTATCCTTTGTCAAGTGGAGGAAAAATACATCAGACTATGTAGTCCTTACTTTGTCTTAAGTATTTTAAAAGAATAAAAGACCAGAAACCACGAGAATAATGGATTTGGAGAGAAGAGGAATCGATAGAAGAAAGGTATGTTTTGGGTGACCTAGTTATAACTATTTATAAAAAGATTGCAGACTCTCTACCTAATATTGCATCAGGACACCAGGAGGCCAGAGTAATCGCATAGTTTAGCAGTCAGTCCCGGGGTTTGCAACCATTATCAACACGCACAATGATCTACCGATAGTTATGTAATTCACAGCAAGCTGGAAGCTTTAGTCTTTGAAAATTCCATACACTACATGTCATTCCTCAACACGCAAAGTGCACAAATGTACAATCCAAGCAACATTTCCTGTTCCCCACAGATGTCAACCAATGTAACCAAAACCTATTCTTCAAAAACAAACCGAAAGAGAAGGATCCTGGTAGTGAATGCACTGTATGCATTGCTTAGCACGAGCCCAGGACGCAGATCACAATATAGAACAGTTAAGGTTTTAACAGATAATTAAAACATTGGTAGATCAATATAAATCTGTGACGCACTGTGCACTCTGTTACAGCACAACTATAACCACTCCAAGTAACCGTTCTAAACTTATACAGCATTAAACTGGCCTACTTAAAAAAGGGGAAACATTTTATATTTTTCAGGATTACAACTTCAGCTCATAAAGACATCGTTATATCCTCCTCAGTCCCTTCCTGGGTTAGGCGGACCTCACAGGAGATCTGAAGGTGCATTTTATTATCTCAGTCCCTTCTTGGGTTAGGTGGACCTCACAGGAGATCTGAAGGTGCATTTTACTATCTCAGTCCCTTCTTGGGTTAGGCGGACCTCACAGGAGATCTGAAGGTGCATTTTATTATCTCAGTCCCTTCCTGGGTTAGGCGGACCTCACAGGAGATCTGAAGGTGCATTTTATTATCTCAGTCCCTTCCTGGGTTAGGCTGACCTCACAGGAGATCTGAAGGTGCATTTTATTATCTCAGTCCCTTCTTGGGTTAGGTGGCCCTCACAGGAGATCTGAAGGTGCATTTTATTATCTCAGTCCCTACCTGGGTTAGGTGGACCTCACAGGAGATCTGAAGGTGCATTTTATTATCTCAGTCCCTTCCTGGGTTAGGCTGACTTCACAGGAGATCTGAAGGTGCATTTTATTATCTCAGTCCCTTCTTGGGTTAGGCTGACCTCACAGGAAATCTGAAGGTGCATTTTATTATCTCAGTCCCTTCCTGGGTTAGGCGGACCTCACAGGAGATCTGAAGGTGCATTTTATTATCTCAGTCCCTTCTTGGGTTAGGTGGACCTCACAGGAGATCTGAAGGTGCATTTTACTATCTCAGTCCCTTCTTGGGTTAGGCGGACCTCACAGGAGATCTGAAGGTGCATTTTATTATCTCAGTCCCTTCCTGGGTTAGGCCGACCTCACAGGAGATCTGAAGGTGCATTTTATTATCTCAGTCCCTTCCTGGGTTAGGCTGACCTCACAGGAGATCTGAAGGTGCATTTTATTATCTCAGTCCCTTCTTGGGTTAGGTGGCCCTCACAGGAGATCTGAAGGTGCATTTTATTATCTCAGTCCCTTCCTGGGTTAGGTGGACCTCACAGGAGATCTGAAGGTGCATTTTATTATCTCAGTCCCTTCCTGGGTTAGGCTGACTTCACAGGAGATCTGAAGGTGCATTTTATTATCTCAGTCCCTTCTTGGGTTAGGCTGACCTCACAGGAAATCTGAAGGTGCATTTTATTATCTCAGTCCCTTCCTGGGTTAGGCGGACCTCACAGGAGATCTGAAGGTGCATTTTATTATCTCAGTCCCTTCTTGGGTTAGGTGGACCTCACAGGAGATCTGAAGGTGCATTTTACTATCTCAGTCCCTTCTTGGGTTAGGCGGACCTCACAGGAGATCTGAAGGTGCATTTTATTATCTCAGTCCCTTCCTGGGTTAGGCCGACCTCACAGGAGATCTGAAGGTGCATTTTATTATCTCAGTCCCTTCCTGGGTTAGGCTGACCTCACAGGAGATCTGAAGGTGCATTTTATTATCTCAGTCCCTTCTTGGGTTAGGTGGCCCTCACAGGAGATCTGAAGGTGCATTTTATTATCTCAGTCCCTTCCTGGGTTAGGTGGACCTCACAGGAGATCTGAAGGTGCATTTTATTATCTCAGTCCCTTCCTGGGTTAGGCTGACTTCACAGGAGATCTGAAGGTGCATTTTATTATCTCAGTCCCTTCTTGGGTTAGGCTGACCTCACAGGAAATCTGAAGGTGCATTTTATTATCTCAGTCCCTTCCTGGGTTAGGCGGACCTCACAGGAGATCTGAAGGTGCATTTTATTATCTCAGTCCCTTCTTGGGTTAGGCTGACCTCACAGGAAATCTGAAGGTGCATTTTATTATCTCAGTCCCTTCCAAGTTTAGGTGGACCTCACAGAAGATCTGAAGGTGCATTTTCAATATATAATCTAGATGTAAAGTCCTGCAACCTTTACAATGCACAGTGAGGGGAGGATGGACTGTATAAATACTAGACACATCTGAATGGACCATATAATCCAGCTTGCCCAGGGTGAATTATGTCAGTGCATTGAAAATATCAATATTGTGGCAAACACTCTACAGATTAAGTTATGATTTCTGGCCCCTGTAAAATGCTACATACTTTTTATCACTCGGTATCCAGCACATCTGGAACCCTAGGGAAGAATAGTTTGGCTGGGTGACAGAACATTTACAGAAGCATTTACAAGAGTGACAAACTTGAAATGTCATCGTGACAACAGATGACAGAATTAAAGCATTCATTCTGCAACAGATTATATTAAAATACATGTTTAATGCATTACAGGCTGTATGTTATATATACACCCCTTACTGTCTGATAGCACGCTATATATACACCCCTTACTGTCTGATAGCACGCTATATATATACACCCCTTACTGTCTGATAGCACGCTATATATACACCCCTTACCGTCTGATAGCACACTATATATACACCCCTTACTGTCTGATATACACCCATTACTGTCTGATAGCACACTATATATACACACCCCTTACTGTCTGATAGCACACTATATATACACACCCCTTACCGTCTGATAGCACGCTATATATACACCCCTTACCGTCTGATAGCACGCTATATATACACCCCTTACCGTCTGATAGCACGCTATATATACACCCCTTACCGTCTGATAGCACGCTATATATACACCCCTTACCGTCTGATAGCACACTATATATACA